GGTAAACTTATTATCTTGAAGATATTACTTCAACCTACCATTCAAACATAATTTTATTTTGCTATTATCCTTCATGTCCCTTTCTTTCCAGGTAAACCACATTTTTATTCATTTTCTATGTCAGCCTTATGTTTTCTTACACTTACCTGGCAGGATTTTTCCTCTGCCTTTCATCATCACTCATTGTTCTGACAACATGATATATCTAGTCAATTTCCATACAACTACCTCTTCCTCCTGTATACCTCTTATATCTGCTTCTTCATTATCACATCTTGTGACACTGACCTTGGGCCCAGCAACTCTCTAGTGTTTTTTTCTGTAGGACCTTCTTTCATCTCCCTCCCTGCATACCCGTGTTATGATTTTTTTCTTGTGGAAATTTTAAGCTACTACTTTCCTGCTTGGAACCTATTGTTTGTTCTCTGTTTGCTGAAGCAGATTTTTTCTTAGCTTGGTATCCAGGTCATGGCTTTTTAAAAAATTGAGATATAATTGACATCTAACATTATATTAGTTTCAGGTGTACAACATAATGATTCAATATTTGTATGTATTACAGAATGATTACCACAATAAGTCTAGTTAAAAATCATCGTCATACATAGCATGGCATTTTAATGTCTTATCTCTTGTACCACTTTCTTTCATTATGCACTTTTTGTTCTATGTCAACATGTTAAGTTGTTGTATAACTCTTTGATTTTCTACTCTCTCTTGGAATTTCCCCTTGCTTTGTCCACCTGAGAAACTCCTAATTCATCCTTTAACATGCTCTTTAGACATGACCTCCTGAAGCTCTTTCCTGAGCACCTCAAATAGAGTTAATCTGTCTATTTTCTAAGTGTTTCAGTGTTACTTGCTTCTGTGCGTTTCTTTGGTTGCTCTTGTCATGTTGTGTTACAATTGCTATTTTACATGTCTGACTTTCCTCTTAGCTGTGTACACCAACCACACCTTATCGTGTGTATTTGTATTTCTAGCATCTAGCAGAATAGAGGTACAATAAATATTTGTATGTTTATCATTTGTTTGAGTTGAAATAAGCCACCATGTACTTAGGCCCAATGGCTACTCCAAGTCTCATCCCAGTGAAGTAGTCTCTCTCACAGCAGTCTTTCCTGATTTCTTTTTTCACCCATCATCATGAAGTAAATGATACCACCTTCCTCTAGATGTCCATAATACCTGTGTGTCCTACTTTTTTGATACACAAAGCTGGCATTTTGATATTTGGAAGGAATATGTTTTACTTTCCATCTGAATTGTCAGCTCTTTTAGGGGGAAATTTTAGTATCTCATCTTTTATCTTTTATAATATCTGATAACATGTTCTTTGCAAAAACTAGAAGCTAAATATAAATAAATTAATTTGTGCATAGATTTTAATGCTCATTGCATGAAAAAAAATCAAATCAAAGAAATTTAGACCTTTAAGGAACTTTGGGATAATTTACTTGAAAATTTTCACTTTACCTATAAGGGAGTCAACTTCAAAGAAGTTTTGCCACTGTTTTCAAGATCTCAGCACTTAAGGAGGAAAAATTAGGGTAAGAATCAAAGTCTCCTGATTCTCAGGCAATGCTTTTATATATTTCTAATTACACTACTCTCCTTCTTTAATTGAATAAGGTATCAATAAATCTTTTTGATGTTTTCCATGGTAATGTATCCAATTAATGACTTAATTTTTCAATGATAATTTTGTAAATTATAGGAAGATTTTTGCTGGATAAGTAATTGAAAATGACACAATGAATTTCCCACTTGGATAAATAATTTTTTAAAAGACAATTATAGTAACACCCTTGAAATCAAACCAGATTGAGAACTATTACAAATTGAGATCTTCATATAAACATAGTCATTGTCATTTCTTCTCTCTTTTTTTAAATTTTATTATTGAGAGTATTATAGGTGTCCCATTTCCCCCCCCAATTGACCCCCTCCACTTCACTCCCACCCTCTCCCCAGGCCCTCACCCAGTCATTGTCTGTGTCCATGGGTTATGCATATATGCATATAACTTCTTTGGTTAATCTCTTCCCACCCTCCAACCCCCTTCCCTCTTTGCTCTAAAATAAGATGGTCTGTTGCATGCGTCAGTGTCTCTGGATCTATTTAGTTCATCAGATTCTTTTGTTCATTAGCTTCTTCTTAAAGAAGACTCTTCAACTTTTCCTGTAGTGCTGGTTTGATGGTGATGAACTCTTTGTCTGAGAAGCTCTTTATCTGACCTTTAATTCTAAATGATAGCTTTGCTGGGTAGAGCAATCTTGGTTGTAGTTCCATGTTTTTCATCACTTTGAATATTTCTTGCCACTCCCTTCTGGCCTGAAAGATTTCTGTTGAGAAATCTGCTGACAGTCCTATGGGTGCTCCCTTGACTGTAACTAACTGCTTTTCTCTTGCTGCTTTTAAGATTCTCTCTTTGTCTTTAACCTTTGGCATTTTAATTATGATGTGTCTTGCTGTGGACCTCTTTGAGTTCCTCTTGTTTAGGACTCTCTGTGCTTCCTAGACTTGTAAGTCTATTTCTTTCCCCAGGTAGGGGAAGTTTTCTGTAATTATTTCTTCAAATAGGTTTTCAATTTCTTGTTCTCTTTCCTCTCCTTCTGGTACCACAATAATACCAATGTTGGGCCTCTTGAAGTTGTCTCAGAGGCTCCTAATGCTATCTTGATATTTCTGGATTCTTTTTTCTTTTTGCTCTTCTGGTTGGGTG